AGATGGTCAGATGGCTATCCTGAATATTCATCCTGAAAAGGGCCTGGGATTCCACCCCTGTGGCACTGCTCATTCCAATTCCCAGCATGTTTCTGTAAGTTTTTTTCTTTCTTTTTTTATTCTGCATAATAACTTTCTCATAACACACTGCATTTAGGAAATAGAGATAGCAGTACAGCCTACTTACTATGCCTGAGAGCAATTTTTAGAGCTTTAAAATGTTTGTACAAATTTTATAGGAAAATGAGAGTGGGATAGCCAACCTTGGGTTTGGGCTGATGGCGGCTCCCAGGGCCTGGTATTCTGTGGTATTACTACTATAGAAATGTTCATCAATTGTCCTCTTTCTATTCTACCCACCAGTCTCCACATCTTACTGCTTTTCTTTCCCGGGCTGTTTTTTTTTCACTAAGCATTTTCTTTTATTCTTGGAAGCCAAATGTGTACATTTCACATGCTTTTCAGAATGGAGGCAGCTGTCTCCCAAAGTGTTTGTCTTTGTATCAATATTGCATTGTTATTAAAAGTGCTCATTCATTTTCTAATCCTTAAATCAGTGATTTCTTTGGGAAACTCTAAGCAAATGTAAATATTTGGAAACACTTTAAAATTTTTGGCACTCTTTCCATCTACCTTCTTTAGGATTGCATGTAATATCACTCCATACTCATTACAAATTGGAAATGAAATTGTGGTTGTTTAGGGACCTTTTCTTAAAAGATCTAACCTAGGCTTTGTTCTGGTCCATTCAATCTAATTGAGACTGTGTGTGTATGTATGGTTTTATTTTGTTTATTTTTTGTTTTTGTGAGGGATATGGAGTTTTATGCTAAAAGTCAGTGAGCTATAATAAATTTAATTATCCTTTATATATTTGATTGTTTTTGAAAAATATGTTGAATTTCTTGTACCCATACTTAAAATGGAATGTGAGCTGTATGTGTCCATTAAAATGAAATAGAAAAGGGAAGGAAAAAGCAGAAAAAATATGGTGATAAGCATCTGGTTTCAGAAAAACTCTGAACAAGTTGGAATTTGTTATATCGAATCCTGAATTTTAAAATTCTACACTTCATATCCTCTAAACGTAGAGAAGCACCCGGTTCCTTTTCCTACTAATTTTTCTTCTTTTAAGCTTCACCATAATCCTTACCATTACAAACTGGCAAGAGAAATAGAAAGAGGAAGAAAACATAATGCTAATTATTACTAAAATTATACTTAATGATTTGGAAGCTGTTGAGACTTTATTAACTTATAAACTCAATAATGAGAGTTTTCAGGGTTTTTCTGTTCAACTCTGAATTGCTTGCTGTCTCTGTGCTAGGCTCTGGAGGGCTCAGTGGTCAATCAGGCACAATCTCTCCTCTGAAGATGTTTATAATTCCATGGGAGACACAGACAATAAACAGGCAATGCCAACGAAGTTTGATGTGTGCTACAATATGGAACTTGTCAACAAATATTTAGGGGGCTGTTGATGGACGTACTTTCCTTGGAGGAAGTGACGTGAAGCTGAAAATTGAAGAATGACTGGGATTTAACTGCGGCGAGGGGAGGGAGTTGGGAAGTGTGGGAAGATCTGCGCAGAAAGAACCCTGTGTGCAAATGTCCAAAGGGAATGGAGATGAGGCTCTATGTGAGGAAGTGGAAAAACAGACTGACAAGCAGTGGCTGAATTTTCAAATGTGAAACAGGTTACCAGAGATTAAAGGTCTCGTGAGCCAGTTTAAATGGCTGGGATTCTATCATCTGAGAGCACTACGGAACCCCTCAGGGTTTTTAAGCAAGGGGTGAGAGGCCTTGTACAAGAGTTCCTCTGCTATGAAGTTCCTTTGTCACTCCAATTCTAGGTCTTGATACTTAATGTCAAGGGTCCTGAAAATATGACACAGAAGGCAATGGATAGAAAAACATGCACCTCCTCCTAGCATGGGAGGATGGCGAGATGGTTAAAACACAGACCTGTAGGCAGATGGCCTGGGAACAAATCTTACCGCGTGTCTGTGGGTGACTTGCTTTATCTCATCCCCCAGTGTCTTCATTTGTAAAAGAGGGTGTTTAATAGCGCCCTAATTCATAAAATTCCAGGACTGTCAAGTCATGCTGTAATTTGTACAACTCAAGGGGTTTTATTCACCTCACAAACTTTATGACTGAGTTGATGTAAGGATTAAGTGGGTCGGTATATTGCATGGGCTTAGATCAGAGCCTGGCCCACAGGGAGTGATAGGTAAGTGCTAGCTATTTATCACGACTAAGGTACTAGGCCTTAATCAACATAACTTTTTGTAAGGAATGGCACCAAAAACGGAGGAGAGCTTAAACAAGCTTAATTTGGGAACGCTCCCGGGCGAGGTTCACTGGTCCGAGAGAAAGGGGCCAGAGAAGTCGCGCCCGGGTGCGGGCGCAAACAAAATTTATAGCGGCGGACGCAGGGGAGGTGCTTGCTCTGTGAAGCAGCCCTTTTTTGGTAATCTCTCGGGTGTTGTGGCAATGTCAGGTGTCGGTTGCATCAGCCTCAGAGCCATTGGTTCCGCCCCTCGGGGAGCGGGAAGACCGGGGCCGAGAGGTGTGGCAATGTCAGGTGTCGGTTGCATCAGCCACTTTGGCGGGGGTTCCGTCTGGCTCCCTGGGCCCTTCCCCGGACCTGCTGGCCTTACACTTTTATGACCATAGCCTTAGGCCCACCCCTGGCATTCAGAGGGCACGGAACAAAGGTGCCAAGAGAGGTCTCAGACTACTGCCTTTTCTTTGACTCCGGGTACCATCCTATCTCATGTCAGTGAGCGTACTCACTGACAAGCGATCACATCTACCCAACCCGAGCTCCACTCTCAGCACTCCAGTATTTGAAAGCGAACACCTTTTTCTACCCCTCAAGCTAAAAAGTACATACACCTATGGGGTAGTCTGTCTTTTGAAGAAAAGAGTTTTAGAAGGTGACGCACACAGGCCTAGGGGTGGGCATGTAGCTGTTAGGGATTTCAGAGACCTGGGTCTCCGGACAGTGATTCAAAAGGAGGAAGTGAGTTCTCAGTAGGTGTGGACATGCACCCCATGGCTCCATGGACCTCTCGCCCTGTGGGTGCAGCACAGCTGCTGAAGGATAGAGGGGGCCCAGAGGAGAGCCCCGATTGCCAGGACTACAAGTGCCTCGAATAGTCACGTCTGAGGAATATCACCTTCCTGATTCCTTCTAGACTCTTATACTCTGATGATCTTAAAACAGAAGACAGAGACAAATGTAAATTTCATCACCATGAAGGGCAAGAAGGAGACTCCTGGGAGGTAGGGAGAACATTCTGTCACTAGGAGTCCACCCTCCTTCCTTTGGTTAAAGCCCCTTTTGAGGGCTTCATAGCTCTATGTCAACACCCACACGGAGGCAAGGAGAGCCATGAAAAATGCAATATCTCAATTTCAGACAATACATTACTCCTAGGTTTGATAAAACTCTAACGAGTGTGCACAGGTAACTAGGCTTACACAGAACTAGAACCCACCCAGGCTTTGGAGCCAAACCAACCTCACTTTAAATCTCGGTTCTGCTCCTTATTAGCTGATGAGGTTTTGCATCTGAGTATCACTTTCTTCATCTGTGAAAAGTGAATATAATACTTATCTCTTAATATTTGTGAGAATACATACAATCGCAGATCTCAGGCATCAACCACACTGTAAGGAGGTCATTAAAATCGTATTCTCACCACTTCCACATTTTTCTTACCAGTGGAAGGGAAAGTAATTTAGGGACCCACATTATTTAACCCAGAATGCAAACGCTTTACATGTGGTCCTTGGACCAGACCCTATCATTTATACAAGTTGAATCGCTCAGAGCTCCTTAAATGCCCCTATCGTGGCTTTTGCTCCTTCCCTTCAGTCATCCATTCTTGAATGCTCCCGAGTAGCTAGTCCCATGTCACCCTAACACCTACTCCTTCTGTGTTGATAGAACCCGCTTCTTGTTCAGGTACCGTGTTCTTTATAGGAGACGTACCCAGCCCCGGTGGGAAATCTTAGAGTCAATAATAACAGCTCCGTTTCCACTTCCTGCATTTGATTTAAAAATGGGCAGATGGCATAAATCCAACCAATAGACATGAAGCACTTTCCTCGATCTTTAAAGAAGGCTCAAGGCTATGATTTTACTCCCCAGGCATTCAGGTGTATTTTTGTAATGATATGAGGCTAGGAACTACTGCAGTGTCCAGTAAATGAGGGAGGAAGGGCCCAAGGTCAAAAGCCAAACTTCTTGATTTTAATCTAAATAGGAAGTGCTCAAACTCTGGATTTCTCCTTCTGTTTAAAAAACAAAACCAAACAAAAAACCTCTTCTTAATAAATCATGTGGGTTGAAATCAACACTTCCTAACCTTTGATCATACTCTTGTCTCTTATTGAAAAAGCCCTTGCTTCTTTCCTAGTTGTTAGGACCAGCTTAATTATGTTCTTGGTTGTTTTTGGTTGTTTTGTTTTCGTTTTTGTATTCTTGGATTCCATCCAGCTGCCATCCAAGCTCCATTTAATTAATTAGTTCCATCCTTACATTCCATTGGGCAATAATCATACTTCCATTGTGAGATTTTTGGTGAAAGCCATTCCCAAGCTAAACTGTAAGGTCTCAGTATCAGAGGCTAGTCTTATTCAGCCTCTTATCAGAGGCGCCTGATAGAGAATATGGTTTGCGGTGTACACCCACCATCCACCTCTGAAACAGTATTCAACCAGCGCCAGTCTGAGGCATGCACGAGGAAAAGCATGACAGTTAATCTAACTAAGCTTGGAAGAGCATGGCCTCTCTTTCACTAAAAAGCAAAATTAAAGTCTCAATCAATGGACATTCCGAGGCTCTGGGTACATCTCTGAAAAAAGTATTGACTTAAGGTGTTTGAGGGTCTAGTTAAGTAAAATTGTTGCAATGATGATTGTGGAATAGTACGGTTTTAGATAATTAAATAAGTCATTCCATTTTTATTTTCCCACCAAGTTACTCACCATTTGAGATTCTTCCATGACTCAGTCCCTCTTCTAAATCCAAGGGTTACCTAGAATAAAAGACAGGGAATTGGAAATTCATCAGGCAGAAAATATAATTAAAATGTGTTTGCACAACAGAGATATGTACAAGTTAATAATAGAAACAGAGAGAATATTGAATCTGGGTCTTTAAACTATAAATACATGGAATAATAAAAACAATGTATTTTCTTTTAAACATCTGATATTACCTATGGGAAGCCTGCCTATTTAAGACAGTAATACCAAGATCAAGGAAATGTAGTCAAAACAAGGCTCGTCCTGGTGGCAGTGTACCCCCAAAGTATAAGTAAGCAACCCTTAAAAGCTTTATGAGACCCCTCATATGTCAAAACCAAGGATGGGATAAAACAATCTAAGAGATTAAACTTCCCTCCATCCAACGTAAAATCTTATCACGGCACTCAAATTTAAGATGTAAGAGCTTTGTTTCAATAGTTTCAGAGGAACACACCCACATAAATGACCCTTCTAGCAAAGATTTCAGGTTCTCTTTGCTAAATGTTCAGATTCCTTTTTCTCCTCCTTCTTTAAGGATGAGATAATCGAGAGATTGTTCCTCGTTCACATGGCCTTTGCTATTCTCAGTTCCTGCTTCAGCAAGGAATCCAAGAAGTAATTTGCATACTTCCTGCATAATCTGCTTCTGAGAAATACACTATTGATGTTTTCTTTAAAACTCTGTTTTTTCTGCCCTCTTGTATATTCCCTGCAATGTATCAGAAGTCTGAATCAGAATTATCAAAGTGACAGCCTAGAATATAGGTACTAGAAATACACTTTGTTTTCTACTTTCCACTTGATTTTTTTTTTCTTTTGCCAGTGAAGCTCCAATTCTGGTTATGCAACAGTGTAAGTTCCCTCCATTCTCCAAGGAGTGTTACATGTGTCTCCAAATACACCTGAACCAAATGCTTAGGCTCTTTAAACCCTGTGAGGAGAATGCCATCTGGACCTCTAGGAGAAACGGTGCCACAAAAAAGAAAACAAATTAAATTAAAAATAAGATAGTAGATGCGACACCTGGTCACAAATCAGATAGTATATGCGACACCTAATAAAACATTTTAAATTCTGTGGATTTCAAAATAAAGAATACATTTTAGAATAAAAGAATAGGTACAATTGGCTTTTGATGTATTCAAAGTAATCTTCAGATCAGTAGGACAACTTGTGTATCTATGAGTGTAAAAGTTTGACTCAAGATTTCAGCAAGTCTGAATAGGATGTAAACATTCTGACCGCCTCCATGTGAAACACTGAGCATATGTTTTTTCTCTTCTATTATTCTCAAGTGGCTATTAGTGAAAACTACTGCCAAATGAATATCCCTAATGGTCGGTAAACATTTAATGAACATCTACGGCGAGAGTCCCCTACTAGGTATCAACAAACTGCTGCTACACACATTGTTCTAAGGTTTGCATAAGGCAAATCCTATCCTAAGAACTTTTGTGGCAACAAAAAGCATTTGTCCGACCAGCCAAAAATATTTTGTATTTATTTATAAGAATTTTATTAGTCGAAACAATTTAAATTTGTCCCCTGAAGTTTGCTGTATGGTTTACCTTAGTAGCACTCAGTTATTTTTATTTATTTTATTTTTTTAAACATCTTTATTGGAATATAATTGCTCTACAATGGTGTGTTAGTTTCTGCTGTATAACAAAGTGAATCAGCTATACATATACATATATCCCCATATCTCCTCCCTCTTGTGTTTCCCTCCCACCCTCCCTATCCCACCCCTCTAGGTGGTCACAAATCAGTTATTTTTAACTGTCTGATGGAGGTAGTAAGCTTCCAAAAGCATGTATGCTTCACGTTCAGTATTTGATGACTCTCTGTACTAGACACAGGGAGGGGAAATAAAAAGAACAATGCTTTCTTGTGTGCATGTACTCAAGACAGGGAAGAACTGAGTACTTACCTCGTACCAGTTTCTGGTCTAATAATTTCAGTTCCCCTTATACGGCAACCCCATGAATAGGTACTATTAATATATTTTTGTTGTTTTCTTTCGTTCTACAAATGATGGAAAATAAAGCTTAGTAAGGCTCAGTGATCTGTCCAAGATTGCAAGGCATATAAATGATGAAGTCAAGACGTGGAATTAGGCCGAATCCAGAGCTCACAAATAAACATGAAAATTACATGTACCTAGTGCTACCCATTATGCTCTAGTCAGGTGGAGTTTAGGAAGGTTAAGAAATCTGTATTTCTAGCACCAGCTACATTTCAGACACATATATTATTACTAAATACTATGCATCACAGACTGTGATGATGGTAAAATGAGTACATCTCCACCCACGTCCTCGAGGATCACCCAACAGGTAAAAGATACATGAACATATAATTACACCCATGTCCCTGATGTACCTTGCCCAAGACCATGAAACTGTCCTCTGACTTCCCCGGACCCACCTCCACCCTCCTCTTTTCCACCGGATGCTTTCAAGGGTAGCGATCTGTCAGGAACGGTCCCACTGTGAATGATGCATTTGTTCTCTGCTTTATCTTGCAAACTCAAGCACATGCCTTAAACCTTCCCAGTCCAGTGCTCTCGGAAACAATCACACTCGCCCAGCCTCCCGGGGCCAAGGTGAGAATCGGTTAGCTGGTATTGCAGATTGTTTTAGAGATGTTAAGGAATTGGGTTTTTAAGTCTGCCCAGTGGTGTAACGAAAAGACATAAAACCAGAAAGCAGAACAAACCATGCTTTGGAGCCCTTGCCTGAATGGTTGGAGAGCCGAAGAGATAAAAACACAATGATAATGAAGAGAATAAAGTCTAAGCCAGGGCAAGAAATTACATCATCACTGGGGTGAGTGAGGAGAGACTTCGGTGGTGGACACCCAAAGAAGGAGAGCGGGATGTAAAGGAGAAGGGAGGCCCGGGAGGAGGAAGGAGCCACTGAACCTGGGACTAATCACCCTGATTCAACGCCTTGTGGATTCAGCAAATGTTCTCCTGCTACGTCTCAGCCCAGACCCTCATCTTCCTTCCCCTGGAGATGCTGCCCAAGTTCTTTTCTAAATGCCTAGTTTCCTACTTGCCTTCTCTCTTTCTCTCTAATAGTATATGGAAGTAGGAAAGCTAGGACTAAAAGAAAATAATTGGATATGTTGACGAAAATCCTTTATTTGGTTAGTTGAGAACAAAATCATCCCGGCGTTTTTCTTTTAGCATCCAAGGCACTCACAAGAGGCCTGGCATGAGAGCGAGATGAAAAAGAGAAGGTCGGCGGGGAGAGAGATGTAGAAAAGGCTCATTTGAGGGGGTCACTGAGTTTAAGCTTTTACAATGAGGAGTCATAAAATCAAAGACCTCTCTGGGTGATCAGAAAGCAAACTTTGCATTTTTAATATTACAGGGAAACTACAGAAGAGAGAGGCTGGAGAAATGAGAGTATCTATCTGAACTTTTAAACTTCAGAAGAATGAAATTTACTTCAAAATAAACAATCTGAACAATCTGAAACTCACATCCCTGTAGAGTTACTACAAGATACAGAAGAAAAGGGAGCAGGATAGCATTCCACAGACAAAGCCAATGTGTCAGAAAGATCAAAACTGTAACACTGTTTCAAAACAGGCTAAAACACATCAAGAAATGCATACAAGACGTGCAGGGCAATGTATGTCAGAATTTATGAAAACCTCAGAAATTAGGTGACAGAACTCACGAAAGAATGATAAATAACAGGACATCATTTCTGAAATGACGAGATGAACACAAAGAAAATAAACATAATACATAATACCTGAAGAGTTATACTAGTGAAAAAGTAGAAAATGTTTTAAACTGCCCCAAAAGGGGCTGTTCTCAAGGATTTGCTATCGGGCTGTCCTGGGCCATTGCTGAGCCCGGCCTCCTGTGCGCACAGAGCTCAGCCTGCTTGTCCAGGGAAAGAGAAGCCTGCTGTTTCGGGGCCTCCCAAGGTCTGTTGTGAAAACTGCCTGTGAGATACATGCTGATGAGAAAAGGCTTCTCCTGCGTCTGGAAGAGAAGAGTGAAGATTGCTAGTCTGGGGGGATCATGGCATGATGGACAGCCGCTGGGGGCCTGAGGACGGGAATGGCAGTGCTGACAGCACCTGGCAGGGGGTAACGTTACATGGCCAATGTGCCTCTGTTCACAAAGGCAGCAAACACCATGCAGGGGGACTGCTAGGCAGAAACAGGGCAGGAAGGAATGCTCAGTCGCAGGCCCCATCTCCCAGGCATTTCCTGAGGAAGTGACTGATGAGGTATACAGGGAGGACAGGCTCCTGGTACCCAAAGTGGATACTCAGGGAATTGTGATGGGGGATGCTGATTGGCTTGAGATCCATGTTTCTTTACCTGTGGGGGAAACTCACACATGCCATTCACGCCTGAGGGGTCTTCACTGACTGTCCCTTTTGTGACTCAGCTGCCAACATCCTGTCTGAAATAACTTCAGAAAGACTTGCATGTAGAATGACATCTTCCGTTGTGTAATGTTTATCAGACGTTCCAGGAAGGATGGATGGAAGGGACGGAAAGGAGAGGAGCAAAACGGCCAAGGGAGGGAAAAAGGAGCTCAGGAGGAACAGCAGAAAGAGCATCAACACGGCGGGTTCCCAGCTCCGCCTCTGGAGGGTGGATGAGTCCGGATAAGTCATGTCTAGACCCTTCACTTCTTCTCCCCGCAGAAATGAGAGCATTGAACCAAATGCTTCCTTTCAGATTAGTCACTGTGTATCTGATAAAGAGAGTACGTTGTTAAGCAGTGCTGGATATTTGGGGGAAATCTTCAGCCCTACAGTGGGCATTAGAGAAAGCGTCAATATGTGTTTACTTTTTATTTTCTTCTCGATTGAAGTATAGTTGTGTGTGTTTACTATCTCCTCGCTTCGTACCTCCATCCTGGCTGATTAGACCATGTGCCCAGGATAGAGGGGCACACTAGGGATAGCCATGGGTCTCTGTTTGCATGTTGCTGAGATTTGCAAAAATCACGTGGCTATGGAAAGCAGCTCTG